TTCTGACATTCAGTTTGGAGTTCAGGAGATTGTCTTGACCAGGACCACACCCCTAAATGCATTGAAGCAACTGCCATGTGATTGGTTGATTAGGTAATCGCATTAATGAGAAATTGAACAGGTGTTCCTAATAATCCTTTAGGTGAGTGTATGTGCAAATCAGAAATGCTGATTCACCTATGCAAATGTTTTGGGTTGCAGGGAGACATCAGAATATCAGGAGGAAGCCCACACACAGAAAGCAGGGGATAGTATTCAAACCCCCAACCACTTGAGCAACAATACAACCCACTGTGACACTGGACCATAATTTATATTATTCCAAATAATGAGCCAAATCCGACACTTATCGCCATTACTGCTTTTATGAACATCCCAGGGCAGCAATAATAAAATCTCATCAATTTCATATGAAACACTTGGCAGTCCGCTGGGATCTTAGATTAAAGATGCAAAGCGCACACACAATAAAGTAAGACAGATAAGAACATGGTGACATATACTTTTACTGTCGTAAATAAAAATATTGATGCAAGAAATTTGTTTGTAATTCCTTTGGATAAAACACGAATAACATAAGACATGTTTTGGAGGGGAAGGTATTGAGTGCTTCAGAGGTGTTAGCTTTGCAATTTGTGTTTTTAGGTAAAGCTCTGTAGGGTGGTCAGCATGCTTCCACCGAGGACATTGGCTCCTCTTCTTTTTGTGGTGTGTTTATATTCCTGCTCAGCAATAAAGAGAAGGACAGGGAGACGGTTGGCAAACAAAATGTAACAGTACTGATATTTTGATTGTTTGCAGTTATCTAGGTAGACCTGGTTCATTTACATCCTGACCCAGCCACAACATCATGAAAGTCATAAAGAATGTCCTTAAATGTACTTTTAAATGAAGAATGTACTGAAATGAAAAATGCATCTGGAGAGCCCTGACTCATATCCTGAATTACTGCAGTGAGAAAATGTCCAGGTGTAGGATATAGGTGGCTTGAGCCATCAAGTGTTAGGAGAGGCGGCTATCAAAGGTGGCTGAGAGTAGACTATCAGTCTCTTTTTTTAGATAAAATAAGCAGCCGCTTAAATAAAAAGCTGCTTAAAAAAAGCAGCTTCAGTGTTGAGAGATATTTAAAATATGCATAAAAACAAACATATTTCTCACCTTTGTTTCTTCAGTTCAACTCCAATGAGAACTGTGAGCACGAGCAAGGAAAGAAGAGCCAGACCAATCAAAATGCTGATTCCTGAGGAGGATCCATGGGAACAGAATCAACTCTGTTTATTAGTGACACTGTCAAATTGTCCAATATGATTCGTGTTGATCCATTTTGTATAACCATACATGTAGTGCCAGCCAGGCGAATCACAATAACAAACCAATGTGAGATTATACTTTATTTTTAACGTTAATTAACATAAACTATACAAGCAAAGAATTTGCTGCAAATCACTTAGACAACAATAGTGCTTCAGGCTGAGGACCAGGACCTGTTGTTAGCGATTAAATACCAAAATAATTTACTGATGTAATGCATTTGTAGTCCAGTCATACTTTACAGTTCCATTTTAACTGCCTAAACACGATGATACGCAAGTCTGGTTTTAATAATCGGGATTTTGAATAAGTCGAGTTTTATCTATGACACAGCTGATTACCAAGAGGTACATAAAAGTTACATTAAAAAAAAGTATGTATATATACACATACACACACACACATATATATATATATATATATATAATTAAATGCAATCATACATTTAAAAACGTATAGTAGATGACTTGCAGTACATTTACCTGCTTATACCATGGCCAGGCCTACAACACGTATAGCTTATATGTTTATGCATAAAGACTGATCTTTGCCCTTAGCAGCATATTTCATGCTAATGGCTGGCTAATGGTCTTAGCAATGGACTATTTTTTAATTAAAGACAAGGGCTTGGGTCATATAACTAAAATGTTTAATAGTAGTAGTCTCTCCACAATTATTGGCACCCTTTGTAAAGATTTGTAAAAAATGTTAGAAAAAATCCACCTTTTGGAGAAGCAGCTTCATGTCACACTGAAAAATTGAGAAAAATCCAACCTTTCATTAACATAAATTTATTCCAAGAAAAAAAATCAAGAGATAATTATCTTTAACAAAAGCACATGTGCCATGATTACTGGCATCCCTGGAAATGATATTGAACACAATGTAACTGAAGTATGTTTCCCCTGTAAATTGTACATCTTTGAGTTGAGTGGAGGGAATAGGAACCTTCAAGCTGTAATCTATGACTTCCTGGTTAACAAGGATACGAACATGAGCTGACACAGAGCCTAAATTCCCTTACTCATCCATCAACATGGGAAAGATAAGAGAACATATTAATAAAAAGTGGACAACAACTGGAACTGTTACAAACCTGCCTGGAAGAGGACCCAAGTTTATTTTCCCCCCATGTACAGTGAGGAGGATCATAAGAGAGGCAAAACAAATCCCCAAGGATGACTGTTGGTGAATTAGAAGACCAAGTAAAATCTTGGGGTTACCACGTCTCTGAAAAAACTATCCGACGTCCCCTTCATGCTAACAGATTATTTGGAAGGTATTACAGAAAAAGCTTTTTTTTTGGCCCATTTTGCCTGATGAAAACAAGCTGCCTAATAATTATGCACACCTTGATATTGGGTGTTGATCTCCATAAGGCCACACCCTCCCTCATTACCCAAATACACATTACCTGATATGTTTACCTCCAATAAGCATTCAAGGTTATACAGCTTGGATTTGGAATATATGCATTAAAATGACGATCCGGTCAAAATTCTCACTTACTTAATAAATATGTTTAATTTCGTATATGTGAAAATGGCGTCTTTATGTACAAATGTGTATGCCAAATGTATGGTAATTGCGGTATAAGCATGTTAATGCACTTCAAGCCAAACAGGTAAACTTTTATTAATAAAATTAGCCAGGACCTCACTTGGTCTTAAGTAGTGTTACTGCGGTTTTTATCACCAATATTTCAAAATGCCTGAATAGTGATGCTTTTTAAAATACTATATACCTTGATGTAATGTCTGGACAATATGAAAAATTAGATGCCTTCGGCCCTCTTCATACAACTGCTCAGCTGCTACAACAACAACGGATATTTTTCCTCTACTATTTCATTGTGACAACTGATCTATGAAAGTTGCCGCTGCCACCTACTGGAAATACTGAATCATTTATCCTGCACATGCACCGTCGATGCACACAGACGCACATGGTTTCTGTTAGACATTAAAAAAACTTGTCTACACTCGCACCTACTACTAGAAAGTTCAGATTCAGAAAGTACAAATCCATACCAAAATTTTGTTTCAACTAAGCAGTTGAAAGCTCACGGAGAAGTATGATTTGTGAAGTATGAATTAGCCTTTACTAATATACTTACTGAATTATATACACTATTTGGACAAAAGTATTGGCACACCTGGCCATTACACCTACAAGAACTATGATGACATCCCATTCTTTTTTTAACATCCCATTCTAAATCCATATAACAGCTGCCACTCTTCTGGGAAGGCTCTCCACAAGATTGTGGAGATGTCTGTGAGAATTTTTGCTCATTCCTCCAGAAGAGCATTAATGAGGTCAGACACTGATGTTGGATATGAAGACTTGGCTCACAATCAGCTTTGTTACTTTTTGTGGTCTGCCACTTTATGGCTGAGTTCCTAATGGCTTACACTTTGCAATAATGCCACTTACAGTTGACCATGCAATATCTAGCAGAGAAGAAATTTCATGAACTGCCTATTTGCAAAGGTGACATCATGTGATAGTACCACGATTGAATTTACTGAGTTCGTCAAAATGACCCATTATTTCACAAATGTTTGTAAACATGGTTAGGTGCTTGATTTTATATGTCTGCGGAAACAGGTCTGAATGAAACACCTGAAATCAATGTATCGGAATACATTTGTGCATATAGTGTATTTAGCTGTGGCACTGGAGCCTGAAAGAGTGCAAGAGAGATGTTTGTAAAGGTAGGACTACGACACTACCCTGCAGTGAAACATTACTACATCTGCCAATAGTGCTGGAAGTAGAAGTGTTGAGGGTGCTTCGGCACCCCCTCTGGCTCTTGGTGACAATGACTTAGAAGCAATTCTTTCTCCAAAAAGAATATTGTTGATAGCTACCAATGATTCCAATGAACTTCAGTATAGTCTTTTGGTCGTTCTGACTTTAAGCACCCTGACGTCAGACCTCTCCTTCGACATGCCAATAACCGTTTTATGGTGGATCATGTGGGTCTTGATTATCTTTCAAAACCTGCCTTTACAGCACCACCCACTACAGTGTTTCCAGACTTTACAGTATGTTTGAAAATAGCAATTCATTTGACACAACAAATAAATTAATAGCACAACCTGCTGATGGAACTCATAGGCTTTAGGAATGGTTACCTTTGCTCTGTGGTTTCCACAAACCATTCTCAAACTGGACTGTGCTGGTGGGAATGCTGGGAGTTGTCGTGGTGTGAAATATTTCTGGGCAGTACGTAAGAGCTTTCAGAAGGAAAGAAAATATGGTTACACACAAAACACTAGTCATAAAAAAGACAATTCCATATGAACATATTTATAAAAACAAAAATTGCAGAGACAAGGACCACCACATACATACCACATACACCACACACCTCTTGAGACCTTAAAATGGCCTTCACTTTAAGTTGAAAGACAATGTTTTCTATAAAACCATTTGCCACTCTACATCAGATTCTAGATGCTTTCCCTAAGTGCCAGTTAGGATTGCATTTATTATGATGGATCTCAGATCATCATTTCACTTCACCATGGAAGTTTATTGCTGTCATAATCACTGCTGTTTACATACCACCACATGCTAAGGCCCAGGACACACCGGCTGTGGCTGCGGCACTCAAATGTCTATGATAAGTGGTGGCTTGATGGTTAGGGTAGCGCACTTGTAATTGAAAGATTGCAGGTTCAAATCCCCCACCAGCAAGTCACCACTGAGGTACCCTGAACAAAGTACCATCCCCAAGCACTGCTCCCCGGGTGCTGAATTAGCTGCCCCCTGTTACACATATTTGTCACGAAAGTCACATATGGGTCAAATGCAGAGGTCACATTTCGTTGTTGTGCACTGTGTGCTGTGGTGTGTTGACAATGACCACTGATCACTTAATTCTAAATAATAGCCATCAATAATAGTGTTTGATTTAGAAAGGTTTGAAAAGTGAAGACCATGAAGTTGACCAGTTTTCACCAGAAAGCACCCTTGTTTAGAGTGTGGCAGATGCTTCGCCGGGTTAGACATGTTGGCACCTTGTAACAACATTTGCATACTGGAGCTGTCAGGTCACCCTTATTGGTCGGTTTAAAACCAAAATATCGCTCACTTCTGCTGCCCTGCTTATCAACTAGAGGTGGGTAGTGGGCAACAGCGGTTTCCATTTTCCATCTGTGTAACTTCTTTGCACAAGGGACATGTGAAATGAGTGCGACTGTGTCTTTGCTCAAAGCACAGAATCTGCACATCTTGTACATTAGATAACAGCAAAATATGAAAATTTACAAAATATCAAATGTTACTTTATGAACAAATAGCATAACAGAAAATACACTTTCTCATACGTCAATCCACAGTTAAAATTAGGATGAGCTTGGAGATCAATACAAATTATGTCTGTGAAAGTAAGTTCCTAATGTTTGAATTGCAGCTTACGTTCACCCAAAATCAATCAATTTATCTTCATATCTCTTCACCTCATAATTACCCCATTATTAAAGAGAAAAGTGGCAATAAGTTATTAGACTTGAGTCAGGTAGTGTGTGAGACAGGCAGTGATTGGCTGGTGAGACATATTATGATTATATGATGAAAGGACAGCATGCATGAGACATGGACTGTGATTGGGAAGTCCATGTGAAGTGTGCATGTGGGCCATGTTCTGATGGATCAGCCTAGTGATGGTACATACGAATGTTCTATGTCTGGCACTGATACCAACACATGATCACTTCCAGCCTACCTCTACAAATGCAAATCGTCTCCTACTTCCCAGGACCAAACTTAGCACCATGGGTGATCGGGCCTTCTGTTCTGCCGCCCCGCATCTATGGAACACCCTCCCAGACCATTTGAGGGCCCCACAGACTATTGAAAATTTTAAAAAAGGACTTAAGACATTTCTATTTAGTAGAACTTATGGATTTTAATTAATTTTGTAGGTTTCTTAATTATTGATTGACTTGCTTGTTTTAATTGTTGTTTTAATATGTGTGTTTTTTTTTTTTTTTTTTCACTTTTTTAGGAAGACATTTTGTGGCATTTTGAGATTTATTTTAAATGTAAAGTGCGTTATAAATTAAATCTATTATTATTATTATTATTATTAATACCAACACAACTAATAACATCCATATGACACTAATGCCAACATGTCTGATAATATCTGTCTACCTGTAATACAACATATCTGATAACATTTATCTGCCTTTAATACC